TGAATTTATCCACACGAGAGAAAGCAATCATTGATGAGCCACATGCAACTACACCAACCAATTAAACCAACATAAAACTATTCATACCGTAGAACATTCTTATAAATGTGGAATATGTAATAAAACACAAAATCCAAAATATATATATATATATATATATATATATAATATATACTACTAACACAAATCCTTAAATTTTTCTCTCTTATAACTATTTAGCTATATATATTTGGATTTTGTGTTTTATTACATATTTCACATTTATAAGAATGTTCTACGGTAATTATATATATATATATATATATATATATATATATAAACAATTTTTAGTCAATAAATTAATGGAAATCTTTATATATATAAACCAATAGGAGATGAAATTATTATTTGTTAATTAAAATAAAAAACTATATTGCAATTGAATGTACCAACACCAGAATTTCGATATTAAATGTATACTGTATTAAATATTAAGAAAAGAAACTAATATATTTATATATATATATATAGCAATGCTAGTGGATCTTTATATATATATACATAAGAATTTTCGATATTATATAAAAAATTGTAATCCCTTTAAATGATAATTAGATGAAAATCCGCCCACTTTATAAATAAATGTAAAGCCTAATTCAACACACCAATTATTTAAACAAAAAAGTTATAATTCAATGTATATGTATAAATAAATAATTATTATCGCTTTATATAATGTATAAAGTCAAATCCGTGGTCTACTATCCATGGATTTTCTAAACACATTGTACTCAATTTGGAAATGATGTCCTTTTTGCCAAATTTATAAAGCGATGTATAATTGTTTATGAAAATTGAATAGTTATTAAATGTATATTGAAAAATGGCCCACTATATATATATATATATATATATATATATATATATATATATATAGAATATATATATATATATATATTATGTAGATGATAAAAGATATGTATATTTTGAAAAATAGAATATAAGTGAACGTCTAAAATTACTCATTTGTTTTATTTTCTATTAATTATTAATTTATATATATATGTTTTTTTTTCAGTGAGCAGTATTTTTAATTTAAATGATTTATAATATGAAATTGAAAAGTATGTTTTAATTAATACGATATGATCTCCTTATCTTATTGATTTAGATTTAGTAAGAAACAGGTATTATATTATAAACATATGTATAATAATTATATATATATATATATATATATATACTTTGATAGTTTTTTCGACGTTGCATATA